GTTGAGCTGTTGTTCAGCATCTTAGCTGTAGAGGGCAGTGTCACCGGCCCTCATATGTGGGATCTGATGTCCCAAGCCTCTGGTGTCCCAAGCCAGCTCTTGACCAATGCGCCACTCGGCCGGCCCGAAAATACACATTTTAAAATAGAGTTTACACCATGCTTTTATCTAAACCTTGAAATGAAGGTCTACATGGGCTTTAAAACAAAACAAAACAAAACAAAAAGCATTTTGAGCAAGAGCAGAGTTTGGGGAAAGGATGTATGACCTTAGTGTGTGGGGTCATCCCTCCCTCCCAGTTCCTCAAAGTCTGGATTACCTGCCTGTTAATCCACCATTAGAAGTCTGAGTCTGATTTAATTGATGTGTTGGAGGCTTGGTATGAACATTCATGAAAAGTAGTCTAGGTGATTCTAATGGGTAGGCATGCTTCAGAATTATTGAATAATAAAGGTTTGTAGTCATAGGACCACACAGGCGTCATAAAGAGGCGCTGGTGGAAGAGGAGGCACCCTGAGGTGTGTGCTGGCTTGTGGCATCTCAGGCGTCCTTTTCTCTGCTGGAGCTACGTGACTGTTGTCCTCTGCTGTACAGGTGGCAGCATCTCCTTACTGAAAAAATAGAGTCATACCATGTCCGTGCTTTTTGAGATTAGAAGCACTTTGGGGATGAAGTATGTGAAATAAGAGGAGCTTCTGCATTAAAAAAAGCCCAATTTAGAAGACAGCGTAAATCCCAAGCGCTGTTTTTCCTCCTATAGATTAAGAAAAATACTAATGTTCTGTAACACAAGCACTTTTTCAAAAGAGCTATTCCGTTTCGATTTACAAATGATACAGAGAATTCTACTTGCCATTTCCCTTTTGGTTCTATAGGCACTATGAAACCATTTGTCTTTCAAATAACTATGAGAACAAATTGAATCTTGAAATTAGTTATAGATCTTAGGCCTTTTGAGTATATAAGAGAGAAGTGAAATGCCCTTTATTGTCTAAAATTGTATTTGCAGAAAAGCATGAGGCCTGCTGCCTGCTAGGCCTGAAGCGCTCCCACGCCATGCGTTTTTGTATTGCCCGAAATCCTTGCTCTGCCAGGAACAAAGCGAATCAGCATGTTCCCTCACAGTAAATCTTGCCTTCAGTGATCAGTTCCTCCTCCTGTGTTGCTACAAGGTCTGATAAGGAGAAAATTCGGAGGTGTTCTAAATTAAGTAGCAGCGGGCTGGCTGGAGAGTGAAAGAGACAGAGCTGTTACCTAGCTGCTGGCGGGCCAGGTAACAGAAGATTGCTCATGTTCCTTCCATTGCTCATGGGAACTTCGGATTAGTTTCCAGGTGGCTGTTTCCACAGATGATGTTAGCCAGGCCCCAGCGAGCTCCAGGAGCCTCTGATTGTCATTTCCAGACTTGCCCACAGCCCATCTACAGGAACGGACATCTCTTTATGTGGACTCTGCCCTTAGCCTAGAGCTGGCCCCGCTCTACCTACTTCCGCCTCCTTACCTATGACTAATGTCAGTTTCTTTCAGACTGCCTTTCTTCCCCCTTCCCACTTGACGGGTAAAAACGCTTGCAAAACCCTGGGACAGTGGACATGTTGTCTTTTCTACTTGTAGCCATGCTGCTGGTGGTTTAGACTCCATGCCACAAGACCGGAATGAACTTTTCAGCCAGCATTTTGGCTCAGTAAAACCTTATTTACAAAAAGACATTCATTTAGTAGCGGAAGTTAAATTTTTTTTGTTTCACAGGTCTATCTGATGTAACTGGAAAGAAAGAACTGATCAACAATGCTCTCTGTATTCTTTTTTTATTTTAGTAAATTACCAGTAGCAAATCTTTTGTGATTGGTTTCAGGAATCATTTTGGATGACCCTGGCGTTTCCACGTCACATTTTGGATACATTGTGCTCTAGACCAGCACTCCTCAGAGCGTTTGGCAGCCAGTGCTGGTCTGTAAACTGTTTGTTACCAGCTTCCAATTAAGTCACACTTAAAAACTTATGTAGCAACTTGACTCTGTCTCCATGTATTCATTGTGTTTTTATTAAAGTATTGGCCTGCAGTGGATTGGGAGAAACACGAAACTGGTTCTTCCCCACACCCTGTCAAGAAGCAGTCTTCTAAATAAAGCAAATAGATTTGAAGAGCAAGTAATTGAAAGAAACCATGTTTCTTTTTACATTTATTTTTCTCTCTCTCAGGGATTTTGCACTGGAAGACATGGATCTTGCTGCCAATGAGCTCAGCATTTATGACAAACTTGCAGAGACTGTTGATTTGGTGAGACAGACAGGCCATCAATGTGGCATGTCCGAGAAGGCGATTGAAAAGTTTATCAGACAGGTGCTGGAAAAGAATGAACCCCTGAGGGGACCACCCCAGTATCCTCTCCTTATAGCTGTGTATAAGGTAAAAATGAGTTCTGACTTGGAAAAACTTAGATGGAGACAAACGCTTCAACGCTCTCTCCAAATACTACTGTAAATACTGCTGTTGACTGATTCCACCATTGAACCTTGAGTTTTCTATGAATAAATTGGCCTTTGCTCTTGTTAGCATGTGTTACTGGGAAATTTGGCTTTTGTTAATTGCCCTAGATGACAGGTGTGTATTTATATTTAAACTGTATTTGTGCGTATTTTTGAATGGTGGACATACCCCCTCCCCTGGTCATATTATAGAATTTTGGCGAGCCTCACAGTTCTCATAGTTCTCAAACTTTAAATGCTTTCAGAAGTGAATATAAATGGCTTGTTTATGGAAATGGATTCGTTCTTAAAGCACATTGGAAATAGTAGAAGAGGCCTGTTCTTTTCTTGGCATTAAAGTATTTTGTTGGCTGCGACGATTACTAATCCTTTTCCTGTCTTCCCTTGTAGGTCCTCGCAACCCTGGGATTAATCTTGTTTACTGCCTACTTTGTGATTCAGCCTTTCAGCCCTTTACCACCTGAACCCGTGCTTTCCGGAGCCCACACCTGGCACTCACTTGTCCGTCACATCCGGCTGATGTCCCTGCCCATGACCAAGAAGTACATGGCAGAACCCAAGGGCGCTCCTTTGCATGGGGGTGATGAAGACAGATGCTTTTCAGGTAGGGTGCTGCGTCTACTACTTAGGGAGCTGTAGCTTCTTGACAGCATATGATGGGAAAGGAAATGACATTTATTGACATCTAATGAGAGACACTTTTCCTATATTGTTTCATTTAACTCAGTCCCCCACTAAAACTGCAGCATCGGTTTTATTATCCCCGTTTTGCAGATTGAGACAGTAAGGCTCAGAGATTAAGAAACTTGCCTGAGAAACAGATCCAGGGAGCCAAATTCATCAGAT